TGCGACGTTAATTTTAACAAGTGTGTCACGCGTTAGACACAATTAATTGATAGATTATTATTTTTTAACGCCGAGTAGGCAATATTTCAGCCATATTTTGGGCGATTCTACACAATTGAAGATAAACGAAAAACCAAAATACTGTATAAATATAAAATAAAACCAATTTTCTCCTGTTAAGGAAAAATATACCTATAGTTTTTTGTCCAAAAATATACTTGTTGATCAATTTTTATATTAGAAAATGCAATATTCATAAGCTGCAGATTTCCTGAAAATATATTTGAAATTTAATAATTTTCCTTATAATATGATTAAGTGTAATGATGAACTTTGAAGAAATACTACGGGTAAATACATTTTACTTTGTGAATTCAGAGATATTCTTGTGAGTATTTTCAGTAGTGTAACTGAATATGTGGATCGGATTACCAAAATACGAAGTATACAATTCTATTTAAAAAAATGGAATTAAGCATTTGAGCAATGTGATTTATGAAATCTCATAACAGCATACAATGAAGCGCATTGAAGTGGTAAAATTTTTCTTTTGAATGGAAAGTTTGGGTCTTTTTTATCGAACGTCAATTGTTACATAATGACACGCCCATTTCTTTAGAAACGAGAAAGAAATATTCGTCGTAATGCTTTAAGACACCCCACTCTCTGCGACTAGCAGAGATTTTATGAAGTTAGGAGAGAGAGCTATAGACTTCCCGCTTCTGTAAAATAGGTATTGCAACGAATGTGTACATAATTATGAATTTATCGTGTTTATTGGAGTTACCACAACACATGTATCAGTCGAACACGTGTTTACTCGTTGTTTATGTATACTTTCAATTGATTGGCTATTGTATTTATGGAATACCTGTTGAACGGGTATTCGAATGAACCATTTGATCGCTTTTTTCCCTTTTTAAAAGAAATGGGCGTGTCATTATTTGGCAATCAACATTCTAAAGAAAGCTCAAAACGTTTCATTCAAACGGAAAATTTTACCACTTCAATGCGCTTCATTGTATCACTTACTCCAAACAGTTCAAAACTTAACTGCAGTGTATAGTATGCATTTACGCAATATTGTAATATAATGTCTCATAAAACAGCCTTTCAGTGTTAGTTATCATCTGATTAAGATTTTGTTCGTCGAGAGGGGTATTATATAAAGCTATATGTTGTTATCTTCTGACAAGATATAGTTCGTTTCCCACTCTATGTGTCCTACTGACTAGGTACCGTTTCCACGGTACCCCTTGTAACCGATGTTTAAAAAAGCTATAGATGACAAAATAATGAAAAAAGGCCAAGATAACAAACAGTGGTGATCGACTTTAAAACACAATACAGTTCTGTGAACAAGGCGAAAAACACGGGTCCATTGAGTTTCCACAGTTGGGATCAGGATCCTATGCAAAGTAAACATGCCCTGTCGACAAGTCAAACTCGTGAACCATGTATACTGATCAGATAGACTGAATATTCCGTAATAAAAATTTAGGTTAAACGTAAAGGCTTAACAATAGGTATTATTAGGTCATAATAACGACCATAGAATGAAATATGAAGATAAAAAATTGTATTCAATCTCGAATTTAAAGTCTAATGAAACGATACAAATTTGGAGCAGAGCAAACACGGGCCTCACAATTAAGAGGTGGGATCAGGTGCCATGGAGGAGTGAGCATCCCCTGTCGATAGGTCACACCCGCCGTGTGCTCCTTGTCATGATCGAAAACAAAATCCGTAGACAGTTTAGTGTATAAATAATGGCCTAACAATTAGTATGTAAAACGTCAGTCAGCATTTGACTCAATGATAGGTTGTATGTGTTGACAAGATCATTGTATCGACTGTAAAACTTGCGGAATGATTACTTCAAACGAGACTGTTGAAATCCTTGTTTTGTCAACTTATTTGTCAATAGATTGCCTCGTTTTAGAAATTGTATATACGTAGAGCATGCTCTTGCGTATCGAATCAACTGAGAGACATAAACGCCATATGCAGGTGATAAGGGTATATTGCTACATAAGTAAGGTAAGTTGACGATTGAAAAGTTGAAGTCATCACGTTTATCATAAAGCTTTGTTGTTTGGTTACCATTCACGTCTTTTTCTAGTAACGTCTTTTTCTAGTAAAATATCTAAAGAGATGTGTTAGAATATGTGGTATCTTTTAATTTAAGTTCACTGGGATATATGGAGTCGACATATGAATGAAAGTAACTATTATTCATTGATAATACGTCGTCGATAGATCGAAATGTCGAGCTGAAGGCCACTGCAAGTGTTTCCTTCTTCTATGTAGAAGTTTTTGAATTTTGCTTCGTATAAATACAAAAACAGGTCTGCTTAAAACGGGGCGCAATTGGTACCCATGGGAATTCCAATAGATTGTTGGAAGACCTGATCTTCAAAAACTACATAGATATTGTCAATCAGAAACTGAGGCATCTCTTTACTATGAACTTCAGAGTACTTGTGTATACAATCAGAATGCTTTTTAACAATATAATTTTGCAAATGACCAGTGATAATGTAAGTTTATTTATGAGTTCCATTTTTATTAAAAAAGCAGCTGTCTATGATGTCAAAAAGCCTGGACTTCAATTTATCCTTCGGAATAGTTGTATAAATTGTTGAAAAGTCGAGTACGTTTTGATGTTATTGATGTTAGTGATTTCAAATTTTCTAAAAGTTCTTTGGAGTTTTGAAGTACCCATTTCTGATTTACACCACTTCTCGAATATACTGTTGTACAGTACTCCTGAAGTTTCTCCTTCATTACAGTAAATATTTGAGTGAGGAGTAAAGAAAGAGGATTGGTAGAACATTTACTGGAACCAGCTATGTATCTTTGATTATAAGGATTTTTATGAAGTTTAGGAATCCAGTAAAGGTATGGTAATTCAAATTTATTTTGATTGTTAGGAATATTTAAAAATATCTAAAACGGACATATGATTTTGAAGAATTTCTTCCCTAGAAAGAGAGCTATGGGTGTAAGTTGGATTTTCCAATTTAATAAATGGGGTTGTTGAAATTCCTGTAAGATCAACTTATTTGTCAGTAACCTGCCTGTCTTAAAAAAATATCGTACTTAGAACATGTTTGAGTATCGAGTAACGTGGGAAACACAATATGCTGGTAATAGCAGCTTATTGCTACATAAATTAGGAACATTGACCCTGGAAAAACTGAAGTCGTCTAGTCTGTCATAGTTTAGTTGTTAGTTGGCTTTTATCACTTATAGTCAGTAAAACATCAAAATATGAAACAGATATAGCTAACTTTGATGCCTTTTTTTTTCGAGATCACTGGGATATATCGATATATGAATGGAAGAAACTATTGTTAATAAACAATGACATGAAACGATTTGAGCAAACTTTGCTGAGCAAATATTGAAATTCGTTGTCATTGACAGGACATATTCGTTAAGTAGACACTTACAGGGGTAATACGGACATATGTAGAATCCTTAAAATAGTTATACCTCGCCCAAGTTGATTTTTAAAGAACTCCATATATTTCCTTGTTGAACCTCTTCTCTAGCCAGTGTTCCCACTGCCTTTTTCTATTACTAATAGACATGAGCTGTAGTTATAAATCTTTAATAAATCAAATCATCTTCAATCATGCTTATAAAACATAAAAAAAAATAAATATTAAAAAATGTAATAGATCGACTAAGTAGAATTAATTTCATGTGCAATTTACAAACTCGTAGTTAAGGAGGGATTCCTGTCTGGTTTCTGACTAGATGAGATTTTCAAAGTATATTCGCTTATAGGTCTTATACATTTAGATGTAAGGGATTTAAAAAATCATATTTTTCTTTCCTCATCATAGTTGTACAACCTAAAATAGAAATGGTAAACTGAATTTGAAATATAGCAGGGACTATATTTTTGGCGGAACGACAGTGTATGAAAATATCTCCTTCTCTGCTTCTTAACATTATTATACAACAATGAATTTCGTTAAAATTTTTAAACAATCAAAGACATTACAAAAAATTTCAAATGTAAGTAAAATTGATAGTAAGGGACTAAAGTTTTAAAATATATCAAAAAATATATATATAATTTTTCATACAAACTACAATTTAATTAGCTTTTAAAAGCTTCCAATCTAAGTACAGATTTGAGCAAAAAATCTGTAAAAAGTGTTTTTTCTCGCTTAGTAAACGGTCAAAACTTTTTGTTTTTGTATCAGTTTGTATCTTTATATGACTACTTTACCATATGTGAAAATAAGAAAAATTTAAATATACGAAGCATATTAAAATAACTAATATATCCTAAATATCTAAGAAAAAAAGAGAAAATGCGGATTAGCCAATATCTATTTTAGTTGCATTATTCATGTCGATTTGGTAGTATCATCTGAAAGACCTTATATGGTAGTAACTTTTTATGCAAAAAGAAAAGTATTTAACTTTTTGAAATAGAAGTAGGCATTATATGATTGGCAACAGTAACTTTTTATTTTTATTGTGAAGGAAAAAGATAATGACCTTGGCCTGACCTTGCTTCTAAAATAAAACGGTCAAATTTAATCTAATTGATACCATCACCCAGTGGTAATGTCTTCTTGAATCTGTGAAAATTTCATTAATTTCTAAATACAAGAAATATGAGAAGAATCCCTCTTTAATATACAATAGGGTGTAAGAGGGTAGTTGACATGAAAAATAATGTTTTTTTTCTTAGTTTATTTTTGATAAAACGCATAAAAATATTCTGTATTGTTTAAAAATGTATACAAAATGGAAATCTCAGATTTATATTTTATGAAACATCATTCTTGGAATAAGACATCAGATACATGTACAATGTGCACAATTATGGTACATGTATTACACATATACATATAGATGTGAACTTAGTTCATTACAATGTTTAAGACTTGGAAATTGAGTCCACCTCAATGATACGTGTCAATACGATATATTCAAAATGAACATATCAAATATATTAGTGGCAAATGTCAGCTTTATCTGTAAATATCGGTCTTTTTGTAAAGTTCATACATTTCTATTGCTGTCAGAAATCTGTAAAACAGCATGATAGGAAACATCATTTGCATAATCACTCTTAAATAGTCCTCTCCATAAAAATCTACCTCGAGGGACATAGTGTCTTCGGGTTTTCCGGAAGCAAACGTAGTTAGTGTCCAATGAATTATGTTCATAACGAATATACAAAGAAAGATGCCATGTACTTTAGTAAATGTAACATGAACATTTGCATCCTTGAAGCAGAATGTTTGAACATGGAGTATAAGCTTGGTCTGGAAAATGATGCCAATTGCCTGAATAATTTTATCAGCTAAAAGAACACGACCAGACGATTGGTGTAAACACATTATTCCAGCTATACAACCAAAAGTGGTGTAAGCCATCGCTCCCGCTGTGACGAAGATAAGAACTGGGTGATTTATTATTTTTTCTGTTTGTCTACCTAATTTTTCATGAAATTGTACGTTAAATTGTCTGTATCCGAAACATAGAAGACATAAAACCATTAAGTCATATGGTATTCTAATTATTCTGTAGACGCCAGACAAATTATGGTTGTTGAAACCGAGTAAAAAATAAGCCACAGCAAAAGGAAGTGATAAAATGATCCCACTCCCTATAGACAAATAGAAAGAGATTTGATGCCTCTGTATGTCGAACATATTCCATGAAATTGTTGACGAATTTTCAATATCGGAACAAGAACTTGAATCTCCTTGCCTCATTGTCGCTTCTTCCGTTTGCATACACGAGCCAAAGTCAAATGTAATAAACATTTTAATAGCTATGGCAACAGATAGTAAACAGTATTCACTGATAATAGGTCCGATGTATGGATTAAACATATGTCGAATGGAAACTATGGTGGAATTATAAAAGCAGTCATCCACAAACGTTTTATTTGAAAAAGATGGCTTGCCTTCTTCCAAAATTGAATCAAAGAAAGTTCTACACCATCGAAGAAGATGAGCTATGACCATGAAAGATATTCCATAATTAATTAGAGACGATGATTTAAATCTATACGATCCATAAAGACTTAGAAATCCCAACTGCCCAACACAGAAAAATATCTCAGTTACATGACAAAGAATACTTGTAATTTGCTCACCCTCAAATGGCTGGGGGCCACCAAAAATCAAACAGTCAATATTGATAGCCATGTTAATTCCAGAATTAAGAATGTTGCCAAGACCAAATATCCAAAGGAAAACGAGCTTAACATTCTTGGACACGTCGTCTCTTACTTGCCCTCTTAAATATCTGCGTCTGTTGTAATGTACAAGGAACCAAACAAGAAACGTAAAAAGCATGCTTATGAAGGTCATAATTGCTTCCGTTCCCCAAACAACTGGACGTGGTTTTGGAACTGATTTTGACGTGGAGAAAATTATCATTATAACAATACTCATGAACAGAATGCACGTAGGTGCTAACATAGAGTTTGTGTAAAAGAAGCTTGAGAGAGCCTGGGATGGAGTAGTACGCGACGAGTCGGCCATCTTTCTGCAAAAAGAAAAAGATAAAAATCTCTATACTAATTTCAAAATTATCATATTGTAAAATAGGTTTATCAGATGTACGAATCTCTGAACTATAAAAAAAAATATTTACGTATACATACCTGAGGATTGATCGAATTTGAAGAACAACTCGTGCGGCTTCTTCGTCACTGCATTTTAAGGAAAAACTTGTGTGGGAGAATTTTTATTATCTTTTCCTACAAAGTGTCCAGGATTGAGGAAGCTGAAAGTGAAAAACGGAAAATTCACTCACACTTGCTGTATGCTGGTTTAAAGTCTAAAGCAATTGTAATAGCAGAGGATTGTTACGAGTTTGTGTAGATTGACAGCTGCAAATGTATTCTGTGAAATTATTCAGGACAAAATCCTCTTTATGAATACAAATATAATAACCTAAATGTGCTTAATTTTCATTCAAAGAACTTAAATATTGAAATAATTCTCGCATATAATGAGTTTTTAAAAACAACATTAATTTGATACATTCTTCCATTATGTCTTTGTCAAGATCTGGTAAACGGAGAAAGCCGTAGTCAATTCAGTTTGAAAATAATGGCCTTTTAATTTGTATGAAAGACATCAGTCAACATTCGACCTAACGACAGATTGCAATTGCAAACAAAGTCATTTTTCTCAATCCTAGAATTTTCGAAATTTTGACTTTAAACGAGATTGTAGAAACACTTGTATCATCATCTTATTTTTCAGTAGTCTGTCTCATTGTAGAAATTGTTCGTACAAAGAACATTCTCCTGCGTATCGAATCAACTGTGAGATATAAACCCGATATGCAGGTAATGGTATATTGCTACATAAATAAGGGGACCATAGAAAAGTTTTAGATAAAAATCCAACAATTCTGTGTTAAATACGTCAGTCAACATTCCACCTAACCACAGGTTGTACCTTCAAACAACGTCATTATATCGCTATAGTGAAACGTTGATTGTTGATACCCTTGTAAAATCAACATATTTGTCAGAAGCCTGCTTCGTTTTAGAAATGTTTCGTATGCAGAACATGCTCTTGCGTATCGAATCAATTGGGAGACATAGACACTTTAAATAGATAATAAAGGAATATTGCAACATAAACTAGTATTAATTGTAACGGGCACCGTTACAGATGTTCCCCAAACGCTCCCCAACTCCCTTTTGGTGTCTTATTTCCTGTAAGCTTCATTAAATAAGGCAATTAAGTATATTGGTCATATAACGCATTTCACGCGCGCGCACGTGCATGCATGTGCAGGTTGACCATGTCATTCCGTCTATACTATAAATGCATCTTTATATTCTCAGTATCAAAACATTTCATCAAAAAATATATAAGTTCCGGCTATATCAAGTATATTGGTCATCTTAGCATTGCGCGCACGCGCACCTGTATGCATGTTCATAATGACCATGCCATTTTGTCTACACTTATAATATGTCTGTTTATTCTTAGTATCAAAGCTTTTCATCAAAAAATATAAAAGTTACGGCTATATTAAGTATATTGGTCATTAAACACATTGCACGCGCGCGCATGTGCATGATGGCCACATCATCCTGTCTACACTTTTAATATATCTGTATATTCTTAATATCAAAGCTTTTCATCAAAAAATATAAAAAGTACGGCTATATTAAGTAAATTGGCCATTTAACACATTGCACGCGCGCGCACGTGCATGCATATGCATGCATGTGCATGATGATCATGTCGTCTTGTCTACACTTTAAATACATATAAATATTTTGAGTATCAAAGCATTTCATCAAAAAATTTCAAAGTTACGACTATATCAAGTAAATTGGTCATTTTACGCTTTGCGCGTGCGCGCACGTGCATGCATGTGCATGTTGACCATGTCATCTTGTTCATACTTTTAATATATCCTTATATTCTGAGTATCAAAGCATTTTATCAAAAAATATAAAAGTTACAGCTATATCAAGTATATTGGTCATTTTACGCATTGCACGCGCACGCACGTGCATGCGCGTGCGCGCAAAATGACCTTCGTTCCGCAAATCTACATAACATGCCTAGTAACCCTAAAAAGGTTTCACCTCAATCGGATGTGTAGTTTCGGAGATCACTCACGGACAAAAAAGTACCCAGGAAGAAAAATAATAATAATAATAACTAGAAACTCATTGCGAGCAATGAGAGGTCTTCCGTCCGATTCTGAAAAAAAGAAAACCCAAGCTGAAAAAGTGAAAAAAGAAATTCAGACACTTTGGAGATTTAACCCTGGTAGTCAGCCTGAAAATCCAACGTGCTAACCATTAACCATTCCCTTTTTTGCATCACTTCCTGTCACGACCAAAAGTAACGGCGATACAAGATTTTGTCACGATTCAAATAAACTGATGACTGACTATCAGTCCTGAAAGTTTTAGACTTCAGTCGTTTACTGTTGTTGAGCAATAGACCGGAAGTTGACGTTTTATTTATTTTGAAATGTTAGTGGAATCTAACATTTCAAAACAGCGAAAGAGATGCATTAAAGTGATGCAAGTTTTAGTTTTAAAAAGAAAGAAGAGAAATAATATGAGCGCATCCTCTGATCTAAAAAATAAAACAGGTTTTGTAATCCTCAGAAACAGTTCTATCATTTAATAGTTGCATATTTAAGATCAGAGGTTACGTCCTATATTAAATATCGAAAAATAGCTTTAAAAATTGGCTGTTTTGTAGAAATTTTCAGGATACGAGGAAAATGACGCATTTCATGACGTCGTAATGCATAGGCTAGCAAGAAAATTACGTCATTTTTGATAGATACGCAGTCATCAAAGGTCTAAATGATATTTAATGCATTGTCAACTAAAACCAAGCAGTTTCAGTTTTCCTGAAATTCATAGGGCCAATAAAGGTCCTAAGCGGTTCTTGTTCTTTAATGTTGAAACCACTACACTAGCGCAATGTACCAGCCATCATCGATGTTTACCTTGCACTCATTCCCTGAAGTAACGAGTGTCGGGCAGGTTATTATTTTTTCTTATAGTGCGGACTTACAGGATGAAAACTAGCCAGCTAAATTTTGAGAAGTGCTAGTAGATTTACATCGGATTTGTTACTTGAGTTTTAACAATAATTGATAGCAGAGAAAATAATCTGTTACTGATAAAAACTAAAAAAAAAAACTATTGTGTTTACTTCCTTTATTCTTTGTACATTCAACTTTCTATTCTATGCAATTCCAAATACAGACATGTCCGTGTACTCTTTTCTGTACTTCTACACTACTGCATCAGACCATTTGTGAAAGGCGGATCAAGATACATTATTTCGCGCCAAACTTCACGAGTAAATCTTCGCACCTTTTCTTTGAAATGTGTCTTCAATTGAATAAGTGTACGTGATAGCTTCAATGAAATTAAAAAAAAATATGTTGCTGTAGCCTGATTTTCGAGCCTAAGAATGTTTATTTATCACACTGGACATATAACATATCGTATACGGGCAAGTAACATAAAGGCAGCGCTAAGTTTTCTTACACAATTTATATTCCTCTTTACCCCCAAAGTGGACTATTCCATTTAGTAACACATTAATGATAAGTCTTGAATGTTTTGCAACAAAACACGTCTCGCCATATGACGCTCAAGGAATCTGATACCTATTATGTTCGGTAACTTGCATCTGTAAAGGAATATAACCCTACTAAGATCAAAGAAAAATATTGAAAAACGTAAAAGTTGAAAAAATGGACTTTTTTAATTCGCTTCCGGTAGCGACCGGAAGTACTCACGACGCACGAAAAGGCAAACCCGCATATCTAGAAGTCATGTTCTATGCTCTCCAACAATTCTCCAATTCATATCTTTAGCCGTTCTTTAGATCTCGCGCGGATAAAATTTCATTTCAAAATCAGAAAATGTCCATAACTTGGAACCGGAAACGAATTTTTCCAAAATTCTTTCAAATGTAACAATGGCATTTCATAGCGCATTATCCCTGAAAGTTTGATGGAAAACCATTGAAGAGTTCTCGAGATATTGCGTGCACAAGATTTGTCTAAAAAATCTATTTTTAAAATGTATTCTGGTAGACAATTTTAAAAACAAATTATATATTAAGCATTACAATAAGAGTCTCTATTAACCCTATTAAAATCAAAGAAAAATATTGAAAAACGTAAAAGTTGAAAAAATTGACTTTTTTAATTCGCTTCCGGTAGCGACCGGAAGTACTCACGACGCACGAAAAAGCAAACCCGCATATTTAGAAGTCATGTTCTATGCTCTCCAACAAGTCTCCAGTTCATATCTTTAGCCGTTCTTTAGATCTCGCGCGGATAAAATGTCATTTCAAAATCAGAAAAATGTCCATAACTTGGAACCGGAAACGAATTTCTCCAAAATTCTTTCAAATGTAACAATGGCATTTCATAGCGCATTATCCCTGAAAGTTTGATGGAAAACCACTGAATAGTTCTCGAGATAATGCGTGCACAAAATTTGTCTAAAAAATAAGAATAATAATAATAATAATAACTAGAAACTCATTACTAGTAATGAGAAGGTCTTCCGTTATACTACTTCCTGTTTGCATCAATATGTCTTTTCCAACGTCGGTATTAGCCTATAATTTATGTAGAAACAAAATAACTTAAAAATCACTTTTTTGCTTCGTTTCCTGTCACGACCGGAAGTAATGACGACACACGATCTTTACACGATGCAAATGAACTGATGACTGACTATAAGTCCTGAAAGTTTTAGACTTCAGTCTATTATTGTTGCCGAACAAATGTGAAAACAAATTTTAATTTAGAGGACAGGAAAACACACGACCGGAAGTGAACTGAATAAAAATCTCTGAATTTTCTCTTGACTTTTGCAGTATCTACAACATATGTAAAAAAAAACATTTCAAATACTGATATATAAGTGATATTTATGAGAAAGTTAAACCACGAAATAACGTAGTTTATCTCTTAAGACCGGAAGTTTAAAGTTTTTGTTTCCGATAGAATCTAACAT